AAGCATAATTTTCTTCCAAGTTAGTCAAGTAAAATTTTAAAAAAGTTAAAACCATAATTCTCATACAAATACATGGTGAGCACATGTTCAAGATTTATTTAACTCACTAATAAGGAGACAAGCAAGATCAAAAACCTGGTTCAAAAGTAGATACATAAAAACTGATGCAATGATAGTAAAAAGAAATAAAAAACAACAAAGAAGAGGAATGCTGGACTAAGACTGCTAAATTAGATACACAATTATGTAATGTGCCACAGAAAAATAAAACCATAATCTTTGGAGTTATCTTCTCTGCTGGACACAAATCCTTTCCATCTCTACCTAAAAAAACCCATCTGTATTCTATCAGTATCCTGCATGTTATCACCTAACTTTACCATGTCTAGACCATAATCAAACAAATCTATATTTCCATAGAGTGAGAAGGGTCATGCTAGCCACTGAAAGGATACATAGTCTTTGTTTTGCCTAGTTTCTAAGTTTGGGTTAAATCTTTAAAAAAAAAAAGGTTTACAGGAAGGGCAATAGTAGGTATACCATGATACCCAGAGTATGTCTTGAGTGACTAAGGCAAGTAGAAGTGGTGGTGGAGAGAGGAAGGAAAAAGGGTAAGGCTCCAGAGATCACTGATGTAAAATCTTCTATTGTGGAGGTTTCCACTCAGAAAACAGTAAAAACTTGCCTTGAGCATTTTGACCTCAGGTCTCCTGTTTGCAAAATTCAGACTTTAATTGAAGAAAGTAGTGAAAATCACTAGACCATTCAGGAATGACCTAAATCAAATCTCTTATACACTGGAAGTGACAAATCAAGGGATGAGATCTGATAGAGTGGCTGGACAACTATGGATGGAGGTTCATAACACTGTGCAGGAGGTAGTGACCAAAACTATCCCCAAGAGGAAAAATGCAAAAAGGCAAAATGGTTGTCTCTCAGGCCTTACAAATAGCTGAGAAAAGAATAGAAGTGAAAGGCAAAGGAGAAAAGGAAAAATATATCCATCTGAAAGCAGAGTTCCAAAGAATAGCAAGGAGAGATAAGAAAGCCTTCATAGGTGAACAGTGAAAGAAACAGAAGAAAGCAATAGAATGGGGAAGACTAGAGATCTCTTCAAAAAAATTGAGACACCAAAGGAAGATTTCATGTAAAGATGGGCACAGTAAAGGACAGAAACAGTATGGACCCAACAGAAGCAGAAGATACTAAGAAGAGGCAGCAAGAATACACAGAAGAACTATACAAAAAGGTCGTAATAACCCAGACAACCACAATGGTGTGATCACTCACCTAGAGCCAGACATCCTGGAGTATGAAGTCAAGTGGGCGTTAGGAAGCATTACTACTACAAAGCTAGTGGAGGTGATAGAATTCCAGCTGAACTATTTCAAATCCAAACAGATGATGCTGTTAAAGTGCTGCAGTCAATATGCCAGCAAATTTGGAAAACTTGGCACTGGCCATAGGACTGGAAAAGGTCAGTTTTCATTCCAATCCCAAAGAAGGGCAATGCCAAAGCGTGTTCAAACCACCACATAATTGCACTCATTTCAAATGCTAGCAAGGTAATGATCACAATCTTTGAAGGTAGGCTCAAACAGCATGTGAACCGAGAACTTCCAGATGTTCAAGCTGGATTTAGAAAAGGCAGAGGAACCAGAGATGAAATTGCCAACATCCATTGGATCACACAAAAAACGAGGGAATTTCAGAAAAACATCTACTTCTGCTTCATTGACCATGCTAAAGCCTTTGACTATGTAGATCACAACAAACTGTGGAAAATTCTTAAGAGATGGGAATACCAAACCACCTTACCTGCCTCCTGAGAAACTTGTATGCAGGTCAAGAACCAAAAGTAAGAACCAGACATGGAGCAATGGACTGGTTCCAAATTGGGAAAGGAATACGTCAAGGCTATATGTTGTCACCCTGCTTATTTAACTTATATGCAGTACATCATGTGAAATGCCAGCCATGATGAAGCACAAGCTGGAATCAAGATTGTGGGGAGAAATATCAGTAATATCAGATATGTAGATGTCACCACCCTAATGGCAGAAAGTGAAGAGGAAATGAAGGAGCCTCTTGATGAAAGTGAAAGAGGAGAGTGGAAAAGCTGGCTTAAAACTCAACATTCCAAAAACAAAGATCATGGCATCCAGTCCCATCATTTCATGGTAAATAGATGGAAAACAATGGAAACAGTGACAGACTTTATTTTCTTGGGCTCCAAAATCACTTCGGATGGTGATTGTGGCCATGAAATTAAAAGATGTTTGGTCCTTGGAAGTAAAGCTATGACAAATCTAGAAAATGTGTTAAAAAGCAGAGCATTACTTTGCCAACAAAGGTCCATATAGTCAAAGCTACAGTTTTACCAGTAGTCATGTATAGATATGAGAGCTAGGCCTCAAAGAAGGCTGAGCACCAAAGAATTGATGCTTTCAAATTGTGGTGCTGGAGAAGATTCTTAAGTGTCCCTTGGACAGCAAGATCAAAGTAGTCAATCCTAAAGGAAATCACCCCTGAATATTCATTGGAGTACAGATACTATAGCTGAAGCTCCAACACTTTGGGCACATGATGTGAAGAGCTGACTCATTGGAAAAGACCCTCATGTTGGGGCAGACTGAGGGCAGGAGGAGAAGATAGCTACAGAGGATGAGATTGTTGGATGGCATCATCAACTCAGTGAACATGAGTTTGAGCAAACTCTGGTAGGTAGTGAAAGACAGGGAAGCCTGGCATTCTGCAGTCCATGGGGTCGCAAAGAGCAGGACACAACTGAGCAACTGAACAACTCCTGTTAATGGAGATTTGAATAATGCCCTTCTTTATCTATCTGAGCTGCTGGTTAAGAGCTATAGATTTCAAAGTCATTTCACCAGATTGGATAGTTCATTCATTGATTAAATTTCACTTAATTCATTTATTCATTCATTTATGCCCAGGCACTGTGTTAGGTGCCGAAGATAAAGCCAAGAATAAAGAAACGTATTTACGTTTACCATCACATTCTGATGGTGACTGAGATAAGCAAGAAAAAAGTAAACAAATACACAGAATATTAATGGATTCTAGAAGCTGTATTAAGAAAGGAAGTAAATTCCATTTTGCAATGGAGAATGCTAAGTGGGGCCAGCTTTGGGAAGTCTAGTCATTGAGACCTCTCTAAAGAAGTGTCATTTAAACAGAGGCCTGGAAGTTCACAAGGTGCCAGCCATGAGCAGAGCCAGGGGAGGGACGTTTCAGGCATTGGGAACGTCAAGCACACAGGCCATGAGGCTCAAGAATGCCTTGGGAAAAAAAAAAAAAAAGAATGCCTTGGGTGTTCTAGAACCTACATGAAGCCCTGTGCAAAGTGGTGAAGAAAGGCAGAGAGTTACACACAGAAAAATGGGAAAGTGGAAGGAGGCCAGATCATGAAACTCTCCATAGGACAGAGTAAGAAATGCTGAAATGGTTCTGTGAAAGTGAAAATTGCTCAGTCGTGTCCAACTCTTTATGATCCTATGGACTCTCTATTCCATGGAATTCTCCAGGCCAGAATACTGGAGTGGGTAGCCTTTCCCTTCTCCAGGGGATCTTCCCAACCCAGGGATCAAACCCAGGTCTCCTACATTGCAGGTGGATTCTTTATCAGCTGAGCCACAAGGGAAGCCCAAGAATACTGGAGTGGGTAGCCTATCCCTTCTCCAGCAGATCTTCCTGACCCAGGAATGCTTGCATTGCAAGCAAATTCTTTACCAACTGAACTACCAGGGAAGCCCAAAAATCCATTAAATGTCTTGTGCAGTGGAGCACCCCAATTTGTATTTAAAATTTCCATTCTAAGCTGTTATGTCAAGATTGGATTATGGTGGTGGTGAGTGGGGAAGAGTTACAACAGGAAGAACATGAAGGACTCCGCTGTGGTAGAGATGAAAAGGAAAGCAATTATAAAGCCAAAACAAACACAATGACTGTGGAGATGACTAACAGTAGGTGATTCGGAGATGCATTTTGAAGGCAGGAGCACTGTGGGCTTTGCTGCAAGATGTGCAAGACAAGAAAGCAAGGTGGATCAAGGTGGATCTGAACAGTGCACAATAGCACTGCTTATTGAGATGGGGAAGTGGAGGGCTGGAGAAAGGCAGGAGGCACAATTGAAATGCTTTGGGCAGAGAGTAACCGAGAATTCCATTTTGAATTTTATTAAGTTTCTAAGTTCAAGTAGATTAGAACACATCTAGGTTGAGATGTTGAATAAACAATTGGATATGAGTCTGGAGCTCGAGTAGCAGGTCTAGGCTGGAGGTATCAGTTGAGTCTCAGCATGTCCACGTGCCGTAAGTCTCTGAGGCCAGATGGAATCCCCAAGTAAAAGTGCAGAGAGACCAATGGGCCCAGAACATAGACATGTGTCACTATGCAAGAGGGAAATAAACAGTAAAAAGGTTCAATATTTCCACATCTCTTCGAACTGTTTGAAATCACTCAGTCAGAACGTGATTTAATCCACTGTGGAATATTCTTAGGCACTGCTGTCAAGCTGATTTGTGTGTTACTAGATACAAAGACTGTCAGATGATTCCAAGTATGTATATCTTGGAAATGTTCTCCATCTCCCACTTGACGTCCCTGAATTCCCAAGAAAATAACACAGATGGGCTTCCAGACATCTTTCTGGTACCCTCTTTCTTGTCCATCAACAGCTCTTCTGAAGATAGGAGGTAAAGAGTGTGAAGGATGTCCCAGGTGTCACTAGTGGTAAAGAACCCACTTGCTAACGCAGGAGACGTAAGAGACGCAGGTTCGCTTCCTGGGTTAGGAAGATCCCTCAGAGTAGGAAATGGCAACCCACTCTAGCATTCTTGCCTGGAGAATCCCATGAACAGAGGAGCCTGGCAGGCTACAGTTCATAGGGTCACAAAGAGTTGGACACAGCTGAAGTGACTTAGCATGCCAAGGAGTGTGAGGATCTAGGTTGGAAGTGTGGTGGGGAAACCATGCCTTACCTCTTCTTCTTCAAGTAGAATGAGCCGAACCACAACGATGTGGATTGCATTGCCAATGCTTGGGTTATGGAACAACCCGGTGACCTACAGTCAAAAATGGAAAATCATTAGTCTCAGGTGAATAGAGAACAGATAAATACTGGAGGAGGAGAAAAACAGCACTGTAATGCATTTGCAATAATTACCTATCTTATAGGTCAGAAATTTTTGGTGGAGTTCAAAGATGACCAATTGGGAAGGCAGAAAACATTACAATGCAAAAGGGACACTTCAAATTAGGGGTCACTAACTTTATTCCAATTCTAGCTCCAACTATCTTGAAGAAATAATGTTCCAGTTCTTTGCCTCAGTTTCCTCATTTGTGGAAATTCTGATATAATTTCCTATATAAATCAGTGAGAAAAAAATCATACTAAAATGATTCAGTCATTTGATAAATAACTACTAGAAAACATATTTGATAAATTACAGGTTTTCCTAAATACATGTTTTTAAGAAAAACAGTAATTTGCTTTGAATTTCCATCCTTAATTAACTAGGCATGTGTGTATTTAGTTGCTCGGTCATGTCAACTCTATGTGACCCCATGGACTGTAGCACACCAGGCTCCTCTGTCCATGGGATTTCACAGGTTTTCACAGGGTTGCCATTTCCTTCTCCAGGGGATCTTCCCAACCCAGGGATTGAATCTGCATCTCCAGGGTCTCCTCGCATTGCAAGTGCATCCTTTATCCACTGAGCCATCAGGAAAGCTCAACAAGGTATGGAAAATATACATATATATTGGAAATATATACATATATATTGGTATGGAAAATAAATATAAATACAAATACTACACATAAAACTATTACATATTATATATGTAGGACTAGGGAATTCCATGGCAGTCCAGTGGTTAGAACTCTGCCCTTTCACTGCCAAGGGCCCAGGTTCAGTCCCTGGTTGGGGAACTAAGATCCCACAAGCTGTGCAACCAAACAAATTTAAAAAATTAAAGAATATAAAAGGGCCACAAAAAGGTCTCTTATTTCTTATTTGGGGGGTGGAGCAGTTCTAGTGATATCTATTCACCTGCTGCCCATGCCTCCATGAGGTCTGACATACCATGTTCATGATGGTGAGGATATAAGATTCCACGTTCTCCCTCCCGTGGTACTCAATCATCTTCGTGTCGGCCACCACCAGCGTCTCCACCCACCTCTCCTTGCTGATGGAACGCCGAGACAGGCTTCTGCCTCGCAAGTGGCTCCTCTCCCACTTCTCTCGCAGTAGCTCTTGTTTCTGGGAGATGCCAGGACTGTCTAAACATTAACCAGAAGATAATGGGTTCATTCTCTATCTTTCTCACATACTACTTACTTATGTTCATAAAGATACAAGGCTGTAAGTTTAAGTTATGTTTAATAATGGTCAAATATAACATTCTTATCTACATGATTGAAATGGAAGAAGAATACCATTGTTCCACTGAAATGGAAAATAATTAATACAACAAAGATAAGTGAAATTGGAATATGACAGGGAGGTTCAAAGTACAGCTCTGAAATAACTGTTACCTATTTTATCAAATAGATCCCTTATTATCAAAAGGATATTACAAGCAAGAATGAGAACTTTTTCTTTCCCTTCTCCTCCTTCTACTCCTCTAAATTATTCAGAGCTTACTGAATGCAAGGCAGGGTACTAGGCTTTAAAATGCCAGGTTGTTTATCCTCTTGAACATCTGAGGTACATACTGCTATCTCCATCTTGCGAATGTGGAAACTGATGCTCAAAGCCGCTGGTTAAATAACTTCCCCAAAGTTGCACAGCCCATAGTATTAGTGGAAGAACCAGGATTTTTTCTGCCCTAAAATCTTGCATTTTCATATACACCACACTGTCTCCCACAGAGTAAACATGAATAAAACTGCAGAAATGTAAGCAGGAGAACCTGCATGTGGTTCAGGACATTCTACTCCAAGAAGGTACAAAATGAGCTGGACAAAGATCTAGCAAACAACAGTAAAACTCTCAAGGTCACTCATAGATTTTAGTATGGAAAAGACTTAATATATGAGTATCATAGTTCGAAAGTCAAAACCCAAGAGAGGCTACAGAATCAGAAAAAGAACTGAAAACATCTTCAAACTCCCAGAAGTTTGAGAAGCACTGCCCTGAAACTTGAAAGAGGTCTATTTAAAACCAAAACAAGTATGAAGTGCTACTTCACACATTGAGAAGCTTAACTCCAAGTGGTGGTCAAGTCTGAAAAGTTTCAATGGGCTTAGAATGGCTTAGTGAGTGAGTGAGTGAAAGTCACTCAGTCATGCCTAGTTCTTTGTAACCCCATGGACTATACAGTCCATGGAATTCTCCAGGCCAGAAAACTGGAGTGGATAGCTGTTCCCTTCTCCAGGGGATTTTCCCAACACAGGGATCAAACCCAGGTCTCCTGCATTGCAGGTGGATTCTTTACCATCTGAGCCACAAAAGAAGCCAAAAGGAGTTAGGGGATAGACAAAAGATGAATTTACCAAAAGAGTAAATAAGGCAAGAAGCCTGGGCTGATGGACAAGCAGAGTCCCAATCTTTGAAGATTTCTTTCTGGAAGACAGTGACATACCTGCTCCCTACTCTCCTCAGGACCCCGGAGCACTGGCTGGGGAGAACATGCAAGCAGAACAGCAAACCTCTCAACCCCTTCCTCATCCCTGGTGATGGCCACCCAGCCTCGGCTTGAATACTTCTGGTGCTGGGGGCACACATCAACTCCCAGTTCTCTCCTGCGCTGAGCTAGAACTTCCCCCTTGTAATTTCCACTTATTAGTCTGGTCCTATTCTTCGAAGGCATCTATAACACCACCCCCTCCCGAGGCCCTGCCTCTGACTCGGAATTGGGACAACCAAAACCACATCCTGCCCTCTGCCCACAGTGCTCTCTGGGTTGTAGAGTTGATCATACTCATTTGCTCTGTAACCCATCCTGGTTCCTCAATGTTGCTTCCTATGTGAAGTTAGGACACACTGCACTGACTAATATTTACAAAAGAGATGAGACACGATCACCAGTTCAGTTGCTCAGTCATGTCTGACTCTTTGCTACCCCATGGACTGCAGCACGCCAGGCTTTCCTGTCCACCACTAACTCCCGGAGTTTACACAAACTCACGTCCATCAAGTTGATGATGCCATCCAACCATCTCATCCCCTGTTGTCCCCTTCTCCTCCTCCTTTCAATCTTTCCCAGCATCAGGGTCTTTACCAATGAGGCAGTTCTTCACATCAGGTGACCAAAGTATTGGAGTTTCAGTTTCAGCATCAGTCCTTCCAGTGAATATCCAGGACTGATCTCCTTTAGGATGGACTGGTTGGATCTCTCTGCAATCCAAGGGACTCTCAAGAGTCTTCTCCAACACCACAGTTCATCATAGGTCTAAATAAATTCAAATTCTATTCTTGGGCTTAATAAACTTGGGCTTTCTAAGTGGCGTTAGTGGTAAAGAACCTGCCTGCCAATGCACGAAATGTTTGTTTTAAGGGGAGAAATCTAGCCAAGGGGGCAGTGTAAGTAAGGATGATGTCCAGTCCTGACAGAGGACTGACTTCCTATAACTGGAAGTGGAGGAAGAGCAAGGATCTGGGCAACATCTGATGAGATGTCCAGGATGCCCTGTGTACCAGCAGACTGGAAGCCCTGGAGATACCAGGGAAATGCAAATAACTGAGCATTTTCCCTTTTCCCAAATGCTTTTGGCAGCTCTTCACAAAGCTCTCTCACATTTAGCGCTCTCTCAGGTAGCAGACAAACCTAGACAGGGTATTAAAAAGCAAAGACATCCTTTGCCAAGAAAGGTCAGTATAGTCAAGGCTATGGCCTTTCCAGTAGCCACATATGGATGTGAGAGTTGGACCATAAAGAAAGCTGAGCAGCAAAGAATTGATGCTTTCGAACTGTGATGCTGGAGAAGACTTGAGAGTCTGTTGGACAGCAAGGAGATCAAACCAGTCAATCTGAAAGGAAATCAACCTTGAATACTCATTGGAAGGACTGATGCTGAAGCTGAAGCTACAATACTTTGACCACTTGATGCCAAGAGCTGACTTATTGGGAAAGACCCTAAGGCTGGGAAAGATTGAGGGCAGGAAGAGAAGTGGGTGGCAGAAGATGAGATGGTTGGGTCAGTGATTCAAGCTGATGGTTGAATCAGCATCACTGATTCAATGGGCATGAACCTGGGCAAACTGCAGGAAATGGTAAGGGACAGGGAAGCCTGGTGTGCTGCAGTCCATGGGGTCAGGAAGAGTCAGACATGACATGGCATCTGAACAACAGGTAGCAGGCCATTATCTGCCACCTCTGTCTTAGACTCAGGGTTAACATGAAGACAGGAATAGACCAAGCTTTAAGGAAGTTGCCTGGAGGAGGCTCGAGTATCATCAGGGAGGCAGGGAAAGTGAACACAGAGCAGAACACTCTGGAAATTATACTTTCCTGTACTCTAGAGAGTGTCTGTTTAGCATGCCATTAGTTTCTAGAAGCTACCTCTTCTGCTTAGGGAATTGTTCTAGGATTTGTCTCCTACCATGACTCAACTCTTCCTCATCTGGATTCTTTTCAGCTGCCTTGTTCTCAGAGTTCCCATGGAGAAGGAGGTTTAGAAGGATGTTTAACTTAGAATGGTTTACCGCTAATTGGTTATTGGCCTTTAACTGGACCTACTGCTAGGTGTGAGAACCAATTTCCCCCAAGAAGATCCTCTCAAATTAGTCTTCTCCAGGCCACACTCTAGAGCTTCCAGATAAGTAAGACCTAGTATCCTTGCTCCTACCTTCTTGCCACCAGCATGAGTGAATTCTTGGGAGGCAACTTGGCAAGAACACAAACACCAACAGCCATCTCTGATAGAGAGCCTGGCCTGTGATGAATATTTTTTTAGACCTGATATTTACTGCAGTCATCCTTTAATATCCATAGGGAATTGGTTCCAGGACCCCCTGCATCTGCCAATATCCATGAATATTCAAGTAATTTATATATAAAGGCATCAAGTTTGTATATAACCTAGGCTGTATACTGTATACTTTAAATATCTTTAGATTACTTGTGATACTTCATATAAAGTAAATGCTATGTAGATAGTTATAAATATAATATACATGCTACACAAACAGTTGCAGATGAGCAATAAATTCAAATTTTTTTTTTTGGAATTTTTCTAGGCTTTTTTTTGGAGGGGGCAGTATTTTCTAGCCAAGGTTGGCCAATCTGTGGTTGGTTGAACCTGCAGCTGTGGAAAGCCAACTGTATTTAGTTCTCAACAAATATTTGAGGTAAGTCTTATTCTTATCATTTTTAATTGAGAAAAATGAGACTCAGAGAGGTTATATTTATTCAAATTTGTCCAAAGCCTCATAGCCATTAAGCAGCATATGAGCATTTTAGACAAGTCTGTCTGAATCCCATTTAAACTGTGGTGTGGAGATGGGAGTGAAATTCCTGTGCATGACTTGCCTGGAAAAAAAAAAAAGAAGGATGGCTTAAGTCTAATAGAACCTAGACAGCTTGTCCAGGCCCACCATTTTTAATATTTTTTGGTGCAGACCACTTTTAAAGTCTTTATTGAATTTGTCACAATGTTGCTTCTGTTTTTTTATATTTTGGTCAAAAGGAATGTGGGATTTTAGCTCCCTGACCAGAGATCGAAGCCACACCCCCTGCATTGGAAGGCAAAGTCTTAACCACTGGACATCCAGGGAAGCTCCTGAGACCACCAATGACCATTCCCCACTCCCTGTGGGCCTGGCTTGGGCCACTTCTGCACTGAGCCACTTCCAAGTCCCAGAACCTTGGGCAAATGTTCTCATCACCATCCCTGACTCCACCCTCATGTACAGGAAACTGAACTGAACTGCTACTTTAAATTTTTATTTTAGCTACGGAGCACTTTCTTCAAACCAAGATTATGCAAAGAGCATGGAAAAGACAGTGACTATGATCAGGCAGCAGAAGACCCTGAGGGGGATTACACATGGCACAGGTTTAGGCCACCAGATGACACCATCTCTTGGGGACCTTTCAGCTCTGGTGCTGAGTTGAACCAGCACACCCTCCCATTACCCATGCACAACCGCCAGCAGTTGGCTGCCATCACACACCTGCAACCAGATCCCCTTCTTAGCAGGACACTGTGGCCTTTCCCAACAGACCTCAATGTCAATGCTGGGGCCATATCCTTTAGCAATGATGGCTGAGCTGCCAGAGGTGTGTGTGTGTGTCTTTCAGGCTGGCTTTGGATAGATTTGAAATGCCTCAGCTAAG